TTAGGGTTGGGCTAGGGTTCTGTGGTTGTACACACGCATGCGCAGTACAATCGAAAACATCGCTGCAAGTCGTAGTTTCTCTCCATTGCGCATGCGTATTTTATTCCGGCCAGCATCAGCCATTTAGTTAATTACCAGTAACCTACACACCCCTTTTTAAAAGAAGATTCTATTATCGGATGCTGGGATAAAAATTCTCCAGATCTAGATCTAGTTTCCTTTAGATTTAGAACATCCAAACAATTAAATTGAATTTTATTGAGCGAAAAACGGGGAAAAAAGGAGCAGGAGTGGTTTGACCATGCGCAGTATTTTACTCTTGTTGCACTTGCCATCAAATCCCCGTGGATCTAGATCTAGACATCGATTTAATGTAGGCCTACTCGATCTAAATTCTTAAGGGACTCATTCCCAGAACATTTGTAATCGGTGCATTGGTCTGCCAGCCATGACTGACAATTTTGCCTAATCAGAATCACTGAATCAGGCCTAATCCAGTCACAATGAAATGGACATCTTGAAGCCTGCTCCCCTAGAGTACTCTTGAAAGTAGTCTTGAATCATAAATTCCGTTGTTTTTAAGCTATTTATCGAGCCCAGATCTAATCTAAATTAGACTCTTAAATTTGCTGAAAAACAAATTTAAATCTGCACCTCAACGCAAGCGCCATGACTTTCACGAGGACAAAGAACCCACGCCATCGAACTTGTACGTTGAGCTTCATTTGTTTTAAACATTTTATTGTATCAATGAAGATTCATATTAAGATCTAGAACACGTTGGATTGTTAAATAACTAAATTACTTACAAACGTTAAGGTTATGTGTATATTAATCGAGAGATAAATTGCTAAATAAATCCCTTTACCTTTCAGATGATCCTATGGTATAGGTTGGGCTAGCCTACAGCTTTAAATTATTCAAGATGGAGTTGGTAGCCAGAATTATTAGCAAATTAAAAAGTATGATAGCTTTGGCAAAATAATTGCAAAATATATTTCAAAGTAAATTATTGTAAGTATTCCTACTGAAAAATATTACATTTTGTGATAGATTTTGTAGGTTTATATCTAGGATTAGCCGAACCTTTTTAATACATTAAATAAAATATATTACATTTTTGAAAGTGCAATGTGGCAAGCAAATATTTAAATTAGGCAAAGGCTAGGCCTACGCGAAGCGCTTCGGGCAAAAATGAATTACGTAGGCAACCACGTGACAATCTATTTCAAAACGAGATCGAGGACGATCTAGCTTGGAAGACCTGGACCTAGTCTGTGTAATAGGGCCCTAGTCTGTATAGAGAGATGAGCTCTGGATAAAATGACTGTCTTTTCTAGGACTATAATATGTAGATCTATGTGTCTACCGTGTCTTGCACCGAAATAATACATTGATATTAACCAAGCCTGCTTTCCAGTGGCGTAGCGAGGTCGGGTGTCACCCGGTGCGGCACTTAATGGTGTCACCCCCCCCCCAGAGGCGTAGCAACCCTTCCCGCGGACAAACTTTCAAACTTTCTATTTGCACCCCCCCCCACCCTCAACTTTTCGATTTGCACTCCCCCACACAAAGTTTTGATTTGCATTCCCCCCCCCCCCCCCCCCTCAAACTGCAAAAATGCAGCTAAAATGACATTTTAATTTGTTTTTACAACCCATTTTGGCGCCCCCTAAGGTCGGCGCCCGGGGACATATGTCCCTCCCCCTGCACCCCCCCCCCCCCATCGCTACGCCTCTGCAGTCTAGCGCTCTACCTCTACGGCCCCGCTATCCTAAACATCAATTACAATAAATTAATTGAAAACCAATTATCTGACAGAGTCAACCAACACCTAAGATCAATTAAAATGAAGATTTTTTTTCCCGTTGAAGAACACTTAAATAAGACCAAACAAAGTTAAAACAGACCAAGACCGAATTAAAGGTGTAATAATGCATAGGCTGGTTACACTAGAACATAGTATTTGCGCCCCGGGCTCTTCCATAAGCAGTTTTCTGCTTACATTAATTTTAAAGAGCGCTACATAATTTATTATTCATGTGGTGGGCTACTACAATCGTTAACTAAATCGAAACAGGCGCTTTGTGTCCCGATGCGCCTCTAGATCACATATGAGCACTATGGCGCCTATATTCGTTTTAAAGAGCATCCTACACTAGGTACACGATGGCACTATATTCGATGACTAAAGCAAAGTCACGTGAAGAGAAAAGCAATGACGAAAATTCAGCGTCAATAGCAAAAAAAAAAAAAAAATGTACAGTAGCATTTAAATTAAATTATTTCAGATAACGTTAGGCTCCATAAAGTATAGTGATAAAGCGTAGCGTTATGAATAAATGAAAGTGATCGAAAGAGTTTAGCATTAGCAGTTTAGCGAGTAAGTGAATTATCTTTTTAATTTTATGTTTTTATGCGATATTTCATATACTTAAATTACACACAGGGGCGGAACTACCAGGCCGCCAGACCCCGCAATGCGGAGGTGTGGTGAGAGGGGAGGGGTGGCATGTCGGTTAGGGGGCTCAGTTCCGATTTTTAAAAAAAAACATTTTTTTCCTCATAAATAATGTTTTTCGTGCACCTTGATTGTGGTTTTGTAAAAAACAAACATGTCTACTATAGCAGTGATTGTTCTACGGTAACTAACACACACTGTTGCATAGAGAAATATCTTTAAAATGTACACGAGCTGTAGTTTGAAAGATCAGCAAACGTTCAGACTACATCTATGGTTCCAATAAAGCTCTTTTAAATAGTTTTGTACTATGTAAATTAAAAAGAAATAGATTATCTTAATTATTATTTAAACAAGACATAATAAAGAATTGCATAGCTATAAAAATGAGTGTATTCAAAATTAATAATATACACACAAAAAATCATAAAATAAACATTACGTGTTTATATACTTTTGATCAGCTTGCTCCTATCATCCGAGTCATCGAAGGTTTATAATATTCCATCGAAAGTTGAGTGTTTTGTTTGTTTAGTGTTTGATTAGACGTTTGTTTAGGATGTTTGAATTTGAAATAAGGTTTACGTTTTTTTTATTGTTAGTTCCATTTTTTAAATGTAAATAAAATTGATAAGCTTTTTTTTTTAAAAATCTAGACTAAGGGTTTAACCACCGTAGGTTTTACCACGGTTGCACTGACCGAACAAGTTTATATAGATAAGCCTTGATAAGTAGATAGTAGTTACCCCCACCCCCAGCAGGGCTTATATATATATATATATATATATATATATATATATATATATATATATATATATATATATATATATATATATATATATATATCGGGGGGGGGGGCAATTTTTTGCGGGGGTGCCTTTTTTTTAGTTCCGCCACTGATTACACACTTTGGAACTGAGTAACTCATTCTATAGAATCTCCAGGCAAGCAGAACCGCGTGCGCGTCGAAAATTTGCAATAACGTAAATTGTTCTGAGAATGTAGAAATATTCGCTCAAAAAAAAAAAAAAACTAACGAGAATGATGCGCAAATAAATATTTGGGCATCAAAAGAAATGCGCAGACATTCTAAAAGGTTCGAAAAATTATACACACCTAAAAGATTCATAGAAACAGAAGGCTAAAATTACATTCATGTCATTAAAAAAATCACACCCGGGTACAGACTATATTATAAGACCTATTAAATATCCATTGCATCCTTGCTTCTTTGATCTCCTACCAGTGGCGTAGCTAGGACTTCTGGGCCCGTATGCAAAAAGTGTTAGTGGGCCCCTCAGAGGCGTAGCGACCCTTCCCGGCGACAGGGGACAAACTTTCGATTTGCATTCCCCCCCCCCCTCAGACTTTCGATTTGCACCCCCCCCCCCCCTATGCCTTGCTTACGCTAGCTTTACGGTAGCTACGCCACTGTCTCCTACTAACGTTTCTTGTCAGCTGGAGAAAAAATCCAGACACATGGGTAAATGTGCGTTCATATTAGTTTAGATATCAGTAGTAGGCCTCATCGTAGCATAAACATTGCAATCTGAAATTATCAACGACGTCAAAGAAACAATTTTCTAGCGTAAAGGCCATTAAAAAAACCTTAATAAACAACGTCCTTCAATCGGGAAGAAGGTAGTGTGCAACGTTTATTTTGTGTGCGCGGTGTTCTTAATGTCTTATATAAGGAATCAGGATACATGTATTTTACAAAATAACCGCGCAGCAGGTTATACTATTGCGCAGCTTAGAGGGTACATTGCCGGGTGTTGTCTGACTACGACTGGGTTGTGGCTGCTGGACATATGCCGGGATAAAAACTCTATCCAACGCCTTGGGAAACCAAGAAGCTGTTGGATACCAATCAAATCTTGTCAGCATTCCTCATCCTCAGCACTTAATGACGGAAATGATTTTGAGAAATTACTTACTTTACATTCATTTGATGATATAACAAGGATTATGTGCCCCCCCCCCCCCAATATCAAGTGCCCCGTCGGTGAAAAAAGGCTGGAAGAAACACTGCTCCCAGCTCTTCAAATCCATATCGCACAGTCCTTTATTATTTCTGTTATACGTCTGTCACGGTCCTATACAGATACGTTTTTTTTTTACAAAAGCCAGTGCAGAGCCTGGCCGGGGGACGGCTAGTGAATAGACAGTCTAAAATGATTGAACATTGTTGAAAAACTTTCTGTGCGTACTCTCCCGCTTCGAGGTGTGTCTCTTACTTTGGAAACTGCTTCCCTGCGTATTGAAAATATTTGAAGTCTTTGCACCAACTTAGGCAGAAACGTACCAGTTTTTTCCCCAAATTATTTTATTATATTTTCTCTTTTTAAATAAAAAAGGTAGCATATAAAATTGCATTTTAAAATATACACATCTAGATCTATTAAAAATATTTTTATTGAAAAAAAAGTTTTTGAAGAAAGTATAGAATAGTATAGATCTTGAACTTAATAATCCTAGTAGATCTAGATCTAGATCGGTATGATTTATTTTTATAAAAAGAATCCTTTTTGGCATGTTTAGCTCTCCCATTTCCAACTCACAGGCTACCAGAAGGTAACTTACTTTACTTTAGTAATTTGATACCATCGTCTGGGATCTTTTCTAATCAATAACTAGATCTAGAAATCTTATATAGATCTAGAATCTAGATATAGATCTAGATCCAGATCTAATGTATGATATAGATCTATACTTTAAATTTAATAATTTAGATCTAAAACATAAACAAACATTTCGAAAACTCATTTTTATTTTTTATTTATAAATCTATCTTCTTACTTAGTTAAGTCAAGTCTTAGTTTAGTAGTGATTTATTAATTATTTAATTAATTTTTTTTTTAATTTAATAGTCTAGAATCTAGCACTTGAAATTTTCGGGGGGGGGGGGGGGGGGGGGCGGGCGGTAGACTCTAGTCGTCTAGATCCAGAACTTCAGTCCTAGACTAGACTCTATTAATAAATTATTTAAATAAATTCATTATCAGAATTATTCATTACGTACTTCTACTTCTATGTTAATTCTAGTAGTACTAGTACTAAATAGTTTGTAGTAAAGTTACTAGAGTACACTCAGTACACTGTTACTCAGTTACTGTAGTAAGTAGTACACTCTCTAGTCTCTAGTAGTCTAGACATCTAGATCTAGTAGGCATCCTACTAGTAACTAGACCTACTGTCTTTTTTTTTAGCAAATAAGTCTGGTCGGAGTGATTGGCCAGGTAAGTGCATGATTGCTAACCCAAAACTCCAGTATTTGAACACTCAAGCAAATGAGGCGCGTTCGCCTGGGGATAGCAACCCATTTGGAGAGAAAACTCTGAAATCAAATGGTAGTGGAGTCCCAAGGCAATAGGATTACTAACTTTGGTTTCCTTTCGGCAGCCCCTGCAACACTACTGATTCAAGTGATATAGGTAATGTCCTGTCCCTTAGATCCATCAGCTGTGTGTGCTTGTTAAATGGGGAAGAGCTGTCCCTTCTCATCTTACTGCTCTGGCATTGTGCATGGATTTCCATTGTGCAATCATCCGATGGTCTATTAGACTATGCAGCCATAATATACTAATTTGTAGAAACTTGAAATATGGACAGTTATACTAGGTCTATATGAATAAATAAATACATATTCAATTCTCTGTATATTTTAGTAGTATACAAGACTGTGTTTATCTGGGATAACCGGTGACACAAGAGCCCATACATACATTCCTATTCATTCATTACAATGTCTAAGTCACTTATAATATAATAAAGCTTATTATTGATCAAAAAAGAAATAAAATCAACTCGTCTAAATGTTATGATCGAAGTCAGCCAATTCGAGCATTGGCCAATAACATTTCCAATGGACCGGATAGTCCAAAATTTTTATTTGTTTTGGACTTTGTTCACAAAGGGTGACAGACTGCAATAAAAGATCATGAACAAATTTTGAGTGATTGGATACCGTTACGATCATGAATTTAGGTCTTATTATTGATTATTAATTAAAGTTAACAACAGGTAAATTCAAATTATTTTATTGTACAATACTCTCAATCTATAATATAAAGAGATCTGGCCAATGCACGCATTTGCTGCACTTTTTGCTTTGGTAATAACACACACATATATATATATATATATATATATATATATATATATATATATATATATATATATATATATATATATATATATATATATATAGATAGATAGTGAAAAATAAATCACTTTGAAATGATAAGCCAATCTTTTTTACTTTCAGATAAAATGGTGTCACTCACATACTATAATTTTGAAGAATCTATCAACGATTCGTTACAGTGTATAAAAGGAACTCAGCAAAAAACTGTTGATAAAAGTTGTGTAGGTCTTCAAAAGTTTGCTGGCTTTTGTGCTGATAGTGATAATTTAAATGTCATTGCTCAGATCAGCAGCAAAAATAACAAGGGGAGGAAAGATAAACGTTTTCAGCCGTTTAGAACAACTATATGTCCATGGACGAAGTGTACAAGTGGAGGAGACTTAACTAAAGTGCCACATGATATTATTTTCTTAAACACAATTAACGCACACACAAGTAGGACCACAAAGAAACTGGAGAGTGCAAGTTTTATTGTCAAAGCAAAAGAAATGAAAGACTTTTTTAAACTAACAGGTATTGTTCATTTTAGCTGCTTAATTAGTTAACTGTAATAGAATTGAAATGATAGTGAAAATTCTAGAGATTTCTCCAATACGTGAAGGGAAGATGAACTAGCAATCCATCCATAAAAATGCTGACTCCAGCACATTTTAGAATGCACACATTTTTTAATAATGCTGATCTTCACATTTTCAACATTGGTTTTTCTCTTCACCTAGCATTTAAAATATTGACTTTTCAGAAGACAGTGTGATACAAGGTTTTTTGCAGATGGATAGTTGCAAAAGAATAGCTGATAAGGTATCTTAAATTTTTAGAAAGCCTGTCAGAATCTTCTAGATTTTTCTGTAACCTCAGTTGTCCTCACATAGATTAGACAATGTAATTTAATTGCAATATTTTCATTAAACAATTTTTATATTTAAATAATCTGGTATGATCAGTTGTCAAATTTTTTTATAGGTATGTAAAATAAAACCATTTCCTCTGTGATTTTATTTTAATTATGTATGCAGATCTAGTAGTTTAATATTTTGGTGTCTATTGTTCGTTCTTTTTTGAGTTGATAGAAGGGATTAATTTCTTTTGAAAGTTAAACTTAAAACAATAAATTATCTTTTCAATGTACTCTACAGAAGATTGTATTTTGAGATAAACAATTAAGTGAACAATGAGATAAATGGGAAACATCTTGATTTAGATTTCTGGTAAAAAAACAAGTCTTTAGGACATTTTCTAGTAAATCTAATAGGTACCTTTCTAAAACATAGGAAAAAAATAACCTACACCACAACCTCTTTAAGGTGTGGCAATATATTCAGTCTTGTTTCTTCATGTGTTTGTTCTACAAATGAACTTTCTTTTTCTCCCAGTATCTGATAGCAATGGTGTTTGCATATTTCAAAAGAGCAGACTACACAATTAAAGACTACACAAGACTGAACTTCTTTTTAGGCCTGTAAGTCATTGTAAATTATTTTTTTTTCTTCAGAAAATCTATTAATCATTACATTACTTACAATATAATTTCTTTACTTTTGATGTACTAATAGTATAATTTAAGGCCTACAGTAATGTAGCTCTAAAAGTGTTAATTAAATTCAGTGACTGTCCCTTATTTCATGATTTATCAGCATGACTAAACTAACTTAAAATTGTTTTTTGAGTTATTGCTCCTAATTTGTATTTTATTTTATAAAGTCAATATTGATTGCAGGTACTTAGCAAATGATGTAGAGGAAGATGAAGAAGAAATCAAGTATGAGATATTTCCTTGGGTGCTCGGCAAAAACTGGAGAAGTAAATATTCCACCTTTCTGAAAATGAGAGATGAGCTTTTAAAAAGAATTGGGTTCAAGGCCATTATAAGTAGACGCTGTTGTGACGAGGTATTTATTACCTAGTGTCTTTGAAGCAGAATCAATTGTCTATTGTTGAAACTTTTTAAGCTTTAATTCCAGCATAAAATAGCCAATAAACATCTACATTCAATTACTAGCAATGTAATGCAAATCTATTTATTTTATGAACGGTATCAGTGTAATAAAGCCTGCATTCATCATCTTTTTCCATTCGTGCCCAAGACACATGGGGCTGATGAAGTAGAGTTCATCTCTTCAGAGACCTTGGCATATGGGATCTTTATTATGCCCAGCTAACGTGAGGGCTGGGTGGACTCTGGAACATAATACTCACTTGAACCCGGATTCGAACTTTCAGGTTAGCAGTCTAGCTCTCTACTGCTAAGCCACGCCATCCCATAGCTTGCATTCATCTGAGAAAAACCTTATAAATAGCATCCCAGAAAAATGAAAGAGCCAGATTTGAAATATAAAGAGAATAAATTATATTCCTCTTTTTATACTAATAGTTTTATAAATTGCATTTTTAAATATTAACAGATTATGGCTATTGAACCAGATAACAAACTATGGAAACGTGATAGGCAAATTCATCATGGTGGAGCAGTTAGAAACTACATGAAGGATCCTTGTGATGATGGCTTCCCACGTGGTCCTAATGTTAGTCCTCTTTATTGTGCTGAGTGTGATGCTCCAGATAGCCAGTGTAATTCTGAAAGTCCAGCAAGCACTTCTTGGTTTATTTCTTCTAGAGATTCTTCACCAGACAAAAGGGGTATGAACAGCTGAAGTAAATTCTTCCAATAATTGACTGGGGGACAATGTAAAACTTACATTATTATAGCTGAATTAGCTGTATCTGAATGTTTTTCTCATGATACTGAAGAAAAAACCTTAGTGTCTAGATTTATTTTTGTATTTCTGGTTAAAATTAATTCAGTTTTTTCATACTATATTATTAACTTCTTATATTTTAAAAGCTAGTTAATAAGTTAAATAATTATCTGACATAGCTAAAAAAATCTATATTACTTTTTTCTTTCTCTATAGAGCTCAAAAGAGTTGGACCTAAAGTACAAGATGATATTTGGCCATCAGTAGAAGAGTAAACAGATGTAGCTTAATTTGTTTTAATGAGCAGTTAGATTACACTTAGTAGATTAACATATAAAACTAATTACTGCATATAATTTTAATAATGTAGGTTCTTCTTAGGTAGACATTAATATGCTGTACCTTAGAGATTCTGTGATAACGACTTGACAGGCCTGACTGTGATAGGTGTAAAATATACAGTTTGACATAATTTAAATTTTAACAGAAATTCAGCAATAAACATACCAATCACGCACTCTTTGTTTTGTAAAATATTTATTAACAACAGTATTAACATTCAATATTTGTTACACTTTGCAATGTTACTTAAAACTTTTAGACTTAATGGTCTCAAAATACAATAAAAGATGTAAAAAATATTTAAATTTAACATGAATTATATAAGTACAATAATATTTTAAAATCATACTTTTGTCAGGCATCAAAGTTTAATAACAGTAAAATTATTAAAAGTGCCCTAAACAATTGCACATGCATTTGAAAATACATTTCCAAGAAGAAATTGAAAACCTGATAGGCCTGATAGTTGCCCATTATATATTTTACTATTTCTAAAATACCATAAAACCTACAACAGTTCCAAAATACTTTTCAATCATATTTATGAAATCCAGCTTTCTGTTTTAGGGATTGCTTGAGCTGATGAATTCTGTTGTTTATATCTGATAAGCTTTCCACCTGTAAAATAAATAAATAACTAATGTATTACAATCTATATATTTCCTTGAATATTGATTTTTTTTCTATGATGTATTTTGTTACTTACTCAAAATTTGCTGTAAGGATATAAAAGAATATAAGTAAAGCAGACCTGTTTGGTGTTTGTAAACAGGATTTCCTCTTGTTTTGTTGTAGCCGGAATATTTGGTTGGCTTTGGGGAATCTAAATGAACAAAGTAATATTCAAAATTAATACTTAAATTTTTTTTCTATGACATTAATGATTGCTGTAGTCCTACTTTGTAAAAATTATGATTTTATGCAAAGAGAATTCAAGATGGGTTTAAAACTTTCATCCCACAAATTCGCATGCTATGTAACTGCCATGGTTGTTGTTAAAAAGATAAAAAAAAGTTCTAGCAACTCACTCCATTTCTAAAGTATTCTGGTGATACACCCTCAAGAAAACTTATTCTAGTCTCCAGAGCTTTAAGTCTTGCATAAATATTATTACTCTCTGGAAAATATATTTAAAGATCAGTGTTAATACCTAGCAAAACATGCATATAATTAATAATTCACCTGAAAGGAAATAAAATGGAGATGTAAGAGTTTTATATAATATACTAAGTCAAGTCACAAATGAAATCTATGGCCTGTTGGTACATATTACATGTTATTTTATATTTAAAATAAATGTGTGAATATGCTTGTAACACAAGCTACATTAAAATCCACTGGCATTAAAGTTAAACCCATTTTGCATTTTTTGAGCTGGAGAATGTTTCTGAAACACCAGGATTACATTAAGAGCTGAAACATTACATGCATACATTTTTCACCTAGTCTCCAAGTACACTTCTTAATTCATAATTGTATTTATATATCAAAGAGATTTCCTCCAACACAATTTAGTATTATGTATCAAAATTTCCTGCACCTTATGGCATGTTGACTGATTCCAGCATGCCATTCATGGATTTCCTTCTATCCATAGCCTTTGTCCATCCAAGAACAATCAGCAAGCAGCAGGTTGTTTGATTTTGGAGTTTTCTCTCCAAGATAGGTAGCTATTGGGACTCATTTGCCCTGGGGTCCAAATGCAGGACTTTATATTTTGCATTAGTATGATTGGGAAGGAGAACATATAATAGCTGTCTCAATTTTTAAAAATCTAATTTAGAAAACTAATGGATTTTACACCTTTAGCCATATTCAAATGAGCTTCCATGTTAGCCAGTCGTTCCTCTACTGCCTCTGCACGCTGTTCATCAGCAAGCATCTGGGTATGTCTGTTACCAAAATAAACCTCATCTTCTGCAACTCGTGTCTGAGGCCCATAAGCATTCTCCACCTTTTTTAAACTTATGTGGCTCTTTTCACCTTCTCTGTGAATATATATTGCTTCTGTCCTGGCACAACTGTTTTCACTATCTAATGAATAAAAATTCAAACACAAAAACCAATTATAATTAAAGTACAGAACATCTTAATAATAACAAAAAAAAAAAAACCCTGGAGTCATGGAAGAAATTTGAAAATACTATCAGAAAAGGGTTAATCATCTAACTGATATTGCATTTTTTTATCCTTGTAAATTTCACCATCTCTGTTAATTAGACTATCCTCAAATCTTGAGTGAAGGAACTGCATTAAAACTATGATAACCACATACTCTTCTAATACTGGAGAAATTTTAGAAACTTACCTGCTAATATAGGTGAAATAAATTCTCGAATGTTTCTCTCATTCACCTCATTTCTTTTGTTCCTAATGAAAGCTTCTATTCTTCTTAATACCTGAAAAGAGTAGACAAATATTTTAAAACTAAGCTAGATACAAGAAACGTTAAAAGATGTAAACAATGTGCACAGTGCACCATCTTGTTGACAAGGCAAATATAACAGTTGATCTCACTTCAAGAAACAGCATTTCTGTAGTTATATTTAAGAAATGTACTATTATTAATTAGACATCAATAGATTGAAGAAGGATGTATTTCTTCTATGCTCATGAGTCATTGCTCACTTGATTAAAGAAGGATGAATTTCTTCTACTTCTACCCTCCAGCAATGTCAGGTTTAGAATCTAGTTAGATTGTTTAACGATAAGCCAGACCATTTGAAGAGACTTTACATTTGCCGGTGTAGGTTATCAGAAATAACCTCAGAAGACACTATTCTAACAATGGTTGACCCTAACCCAACCTTACTACACAGATATGTTGTTTACGCTTGGGTGAATAGGCCTATTTGTAATTTATAACAGTCCGGTTTGTTCACGAAGTTGGACTTGTTGTCTGAATCCTCCACTATATTCTCAATTAAGAACGAAGAAGAAGAAGAAGTAATTCATATCTCAGTTGAACCTCCCACATCCTGATGTGTCGAAACAAGAAGGGGAATAGTAGTTGATATCAAAGCACACAGCAAATATCTACCATTATACCTTAAAACTTAAGTAATGATTCATTGACAAATTGATAAATAGACTAACATTCAGTAACATTAACAAACAGAACTGAACCTAGTGTGTTATTAATTGTTCTTTGAAACTTTGTTGCATATGAATAGAGCATTTTAACATCTACAACTTTGTATATTCAGTTGACATCAATACTACAGAAATGTCTATGAATCAGCACCTGTTTATTAATTATTAATACATTATTTTACTTTAAAAAGTAACCTAGTAAACAAGAGAAAAAGTAACGGTCTCTTTTTTTAAATCTGGCAGTTCATGGGGCAGATAAAGTAGAGTTCACCTGTTTCTGTGACCTCTGCATATGAAGGGATAGTGTGACCAGAACACTATACATAGCCGCCTTTACATTCACTAATGTGAGATACTCATCTGAGTTGGTAAACTCAGGGATATCCAACAGATTAGAGTCCAAAATCTGAACTCATGACTTTTGAGCTAGCAGTTGTACACTCTACTGCCTGACCATGCCGCTCCCAAAAGAAACAAATGAAAAAGTGTCCAGCTAGGTATCAGGAATTTAATTAAGATTTGAATTATCTTCTGGACAAACCAAGTGATGGATGATTGAAAAGGTTTTAACTTTCACCTGGCTAGAGATGTAGGCATATATATTTTTTTGTTTATTGAATAAATATTTTTAACATATGGATTCATTTAAATGCCATTTGACTTGCTAGGTAAAAAAAAATGTATTTATTATTGAGTCTGACCCAAGCGACATCCCACTCACTCTAAGAAATGAGATAAAAAATAATTTTGAAAGAATTTTCATCACCTCATCTTCACTGGCAGCCTTTATTTGAATTAAGTCAGGGTGCACAGTTTGGTCTTGGATATCATCAAACTTTACATCTTCAGATTGTAGGCAAACATGGATGTTACTGTCTCCTGACTCCATATTAGGGGCTAAAATATAAGCAATGGAAGAAATTAATGTGCTGGTAAGTTGGCAGATGCGATGATAAAAGACAATTATTATTATTATTATTATTAGTATTATTATTACATGGCCTGTTTATGCATTGCTGGTACAAGAAAAAGAACACTGTTGGTTTATAAACAAATAATATATGGAGGCTAATAGGCCTACTGTTTGTAAAGGCTTATATTATTTAAATTTCAAAACACTATTTGTTACTTGTCCATATCTTGCAACATTCTCTATAATATTAATAATTGAGGCCTAAGTATAATGGAATATTATGGGATGCGTGGCCTAGCGGTGGAGCGCTAGACTGCTAAACTGATAGTCTTGAGTTCGAATCCGGGTTCAAGTTAGTGGAACGTCCCTGAGTCCACCCAACTCTGATGGGTACTTAAAACTTTAGGGAAAGTAAAGGCGGCTGGGCCTAGTGAGATTAAGTGACTAGTGTTATTGATTTGTATGCCGAGGTCAAGAAACATTTGAACTCCATCTACCCAATGGATCTTTAGGATGGAATATCAATGAACTTTAATAGTAATAATAGGCCTAAATCTAAAGTAAAGGGTAAAATCACGATATAGCGTCGGAAATTATTGGGTAATGTTCGTTGAGTTTCGGTAACATTTGTTACTGTAAACCATAGTTTATTTGATCATTGAAAGAAAAATAAAGGCAAGTGCATTAAATTAATGTTTTAACTTAATTTAACGTTTAACTGACAAAGAATTAGCAAAAATTAGTAAATCTAAATAATAAATATCATTAATAAAGTCGAGTGTAGTAATTAATGTTTTTTTTTAAGAAACACAGAAAAAACCTGCCGAAGATTTGCGACAACCAGCTCTAGAGTCTAGTTCTGTTATTAAAATAAGACGATTAGATTTACTAAAGTTAAAAGTAGTAAGAAGAACTAGAATAATGTTTAGTAGCAGCAATAATTAGCATATACACTTAAAATAATTAGAAATACATAATACTTAGCAAAACAGTATTTAAAATGCAACTAAAATCAATCCTTGCACATTTTTAAACATTATGTATTAAAAATAATATGGCGGCAAATAAATGATGGTTTACAGTATTTCCGGTGGTTTCCGGAACGGCTCGACAGACTACGCCATGGTTTTACTGTTTTTTACTGCTGTACAGTTCCGGAATAATAACCGACGCTATATCGTGATTTTACCAAGTAAAGATCTAAAGTATAAAGTACTTAGACTAACTTACTACTCTAGTGTGAGTCTAGATCTACTATCTATTTCATTACTAGCCTCTAGTCTAGACCAGGCCCTAGTCCTAGTCGAGACCTAGACTAGAAGAGTCGGCTAGAGTCGACAGACAGATCACGTCAGAACTTTAAGTAATACTAATAATAAAGCTAAGGGCACTGAATTGACTCGATCTATTCTAATGACACTGACAATCTGTCAAAATGTGTTTGGTTTTACACGTTTCTTCGGTTTAGTTAACTCAAAACTGCAGCATTTTACACATTTTAGTTTGGCCATAGTCTCTCCCAGTAAAAAATTGTTTATATTTTGAAAATCCGTATCGATACTCGAATTACATTTTCTACGCGACTATCCTACCCAAGCCTACATCATGTCAGAAAGTGGGTGTGTGACACAAGATCACGTGATTTGTAATACACAAAGTCACTAGACTACTGCCTGGTGACGCTGTTTCTTTCCTTGACACTATTCTAAACTCTAGTTTTGTGAACACTGAATAAAATAAATAAACTTATCCATGATGGGCATCTTTTCAATCAAACGAGCGTTTTTAAGCTCCATTTACATATGTTTTATAATTGGATTGGTATCCGGTACCACAATCGTGAAAATGAAAGTGAATGATTTTTGCCCTCTTCTATTCAAGGACTGTGGTAGGTTCTGATCAGATTTTGAAGTTTACTTTATTTCATCTAGAATCTAGATCTAGATTTAGTATTCTAGATTAGTAAATTAGGGGAACACTCGTAGTGTAGTAAAAAAAAGTAACTCTAGGCCAGGCCTCCCAGAGGTGATTAGGAGTTGTGTCAATGGTGTGCATTTTAAAAAAAAGTAAAGTTTCCCTTTCAAACCTGACGGTCTAATGGGGCAAGTGAAGTAGACTCTAGAGTACACTTGTTTCTGTGACCTCGACATATGAAGAGATAGTGTGGTCAGCACTATGCCCAGCCGCCTTTACTTACCCTAACCTGAGTTAGGTACCCATCAGAGTTGGGTGGACTTCTCGCACAAAAGTTTAAATTATTTACTTATTTTCATAGCAGGCCCATAAAACTCCAGTCAAGTTTTGATTCCAATGTTGTCTCTCAGATCTTGTTTATAATTTTTTCCCCCAGGGTCAGAGGCCGGTACACTATCAGCTGTTAACTTCAATGGCACATGTTCTGGAGGGAAAGCACAGCTTCAGAAAGGGACTGTTGTAGCTATTCAATTCACCCTCTCCACAAGTGAGACTCATTCCATTACCTCTATGAGGACTTGCCGTATTTGATTCAATTAGTAGATGAAAACTTGTTTTTAATTTTTCAGAGGCAGATGAAGCTTCCCTGAATTCAAAAGTGTATGGCAAGATTGGAGTTCTTCCTTTTGTTTCATTCCCGCTTGATAACCCAGATGCCTGCAAAGATTCTGGGCTGACTTGTCCAGTCAAAGCCAATACTGTGGTCCAGTACCTGCCTGTTTTAAATGTTCTTAAAAGCTATCCATCTGTAAGTGGATTTTATCAGATAGGGCTACAATTTGGTTTATTTTAATATGGGAGAGTCCATTAATGATGACACACAGCAAAGCCCCCTCCCCCAAATTAGAGTTTGTTTTTTTAAAACTGGAATTTTTTCTGAAATATTAACTGAGCTAGGACTATATTTTGGAAAAAATACTAGCATTCAATCTGCTGGTCTAACATACCCCAAGGATGTCCCCAGTGTTCAAATTTTTTTGTTTTCTCTGTTGTTTTGCCAACTACAAGTTTTTAATCATATACCTTGGTCATTATTTAGCTAGAATGGCTATTTTTAGTTGTACTTCTTGCACATTTCCCCTATAGTTGATTTTGTAATTTTCTTAAAATGTTCTTAAAAGCTATCCATCAGTAAGTGGATTTTATCAGATAGGGCTACAATTTGGTTTATTTTAATATGAGAGAGTCCATTAATGATGTCACACAGCAAAGCCCCCTCCCCCAAATTAGAGTTTGTTTTTTAAAACTGGAATTTTTTCTGAAATATTAACTGAGCTAGGACAATATTTTGGAAAAAATTCTAGCATTCAATCTGCTGGTCTAACATACCCCAAGGATGTCCCCAGTGTTCAAATTTTTTTGTTTTCTCTGTTGTTTTGCCAACTACAAGTTTTTAATCATATACCTTGGTCATTATTTAGCTAGAATGGCTATTTTTAGTTGTACTTCTTGCACATTTCCCCTATAGTTGATTTTGTATTTTTTAGAAATGGCTTTGTAAAATTAAACACACAAAAAACCATTTTTTTAACACTGAGGAAGCCCTTTCAGTGTCTACAAAATTTTAGTCTTAAAATAATCAGCCAAAATTTTTTATTCTTATACTAATCTAACTCATGAATTTGGAAGAAAAATAGACATGCCTTTATTTTCTAGGATTAATAAATTAAGAAAAATAGTTTTTATAAATTTTGTTTTTAATTAAAGTATTTTTTCCCTGTGAGAAGTTCCCAATTATTTTTCGTATTTAAAACTAAGTAGTTTTCTTAAATAAATAAATCAATACTTAAAATTAATATTAGTGTGTAGGGCATTAGATGATTAATTTTATACATATTAATTTATATAAAACGAGCCAACCTGCAGCGGATCATACGCCGCTATTTAGTTGTTTTATTTTCTACTTTTCAGTAATTCATAATTTGTGAATTCGACAGTACCAATGCTGCCACTGAAAATATTTGCTTTAAAACACTAAACCCCCCCCTTCCCCTAACCCTGACCCTACCCCGTGAAAGCAGCCTCCTCTTAGTTATTTCTTAGTTACCTCCTGTAAGTTTAAAATCGAACTAAATTATCTGCCCCTAATAGAAACCCGGCTCTACGGCTCTACGATTTGTAAACATTTAACTTTGTATACATTTAGCGTGACAACAGCTCACCAGACAATGTGGGGGTGGGGTGGGGGTGGTAGTGATAGTGATAGAGAGAAAGAGAGGGGACTGCAAGGAGGTGCTTGCAGCTTGTTTTCTAACGGCTCCCAGAAGAGAATTATATATATAGATGTGTGGGTTTTAAATAAGAGGTGAAAATGGTATGAGTCTTTTTGTTGTGGAGGAGTTGAACATTTTTTAGGGGAAAGGGGGCGGAATAATTCAGGTGGAATGGGAAAATTAGGGTCATAAATGGTTAATCTATTTTATTTATTACAATTCACATGTAAGTCATTTAAAAAGTGTGAAATAACTGTCAAATTAGTTCAATTTAAATTCCATTTTGTTATGCAATAGTGTGGCATCACACCTTCTGAAACCCTGTTCCCTCTCTTTACAGAAGCTAGAATCTCCCAAGTGTGACATTATTTATTGCCCCAATGTATCTGGTATTCTACATATTAGGAAAATGTAAAAGAAAGTACCCATGGTTTCTAATATTTTTAGGTTTGGTATTTATTTAATTTTCACCCTCACACATTTTATTTGTCAACAACTAATTTTCTTTTTAGGTTTGGTATCTATTTAATTTCCACCCTCTCACATTATATTTGTCAACAACTAATTTTCTTTTTAGGTTTGGTATCTATTTAATTTTCACCCTCACACATATTTGTCAACAACTAATTTTCTTTTTAGGTTTGGTATCTATTTAATTTTCACCCTCACACATTATATTTGTCAACAACTAATTTTCTTTTTAGGTTTGGTATCTATTTAATTTTCACCCTCACACATATTTGTCAACAACTAATTTTCTTTTTAGGTTTGGTATCTATTTAATTTTCACCCTCACACATTATATTTGTCAACAACTAATTTTCTTTTTAGGTTTGGTATCTATTTAATTTTCACCCTCACACATATTTGTCAACAAATAATTTTCTTTTTAGGTTTGGTATCTATTTAATTTTCACCCTCACACATATTTGTCAACAAATAATTTTCTTTTTAGGTTTGGTATCTATTTAATTTTCACCCTCACACATATTTGTCAACAACTAATTTTCAGGTTGATGTTATTGTCAAGTGGGAGCTGCAGAACAAAGATGGAAAAAATGTGTTTTGTACCTTGATTCCTGCCTCCATTACTGGCTAAGTTACACAGTGAACACTTTGTTTTGTTATCAATATTTAAAAGCCTGGCAAAACTACTATGCAAACACTTAGCACAATTTAGTTATATTTCTCGATGTGTAACTAAAAATTTTGAATTGGTAATGTAAGTTGTAAGTTAATATTTTAGAAAAGCTGGTTCTTTGACCAACATTTTTATAGAATTGTAATTATCCAAATTAATATTTTTAGATATGTCAGTCGCATAGGCATCAGATTGTAGAGGAACTGAAGGTTCCGCTTGTTACCACATCATGAGATATAATGCCATTTACACTGTTGATATTTATAAACTTTCTGTAAACACATCTCACTGTTTGTATGTTGGGTATTCTTGAGTTGTAGAACCTTTTGAACTAGAAGTTTGACCTTAGTGTCTGGCTGTCAAAAAGTAAATATTTTACCTGTTATGATCTGATTTAAATGATCTAGAGTTCATGGAATTGTTCATTTACTGTATTGGATAAACTGAGTCCTATTGATAAACACATGGATATTATTTCAGCTATTTTTAGTTTACATACTCTATTGTATTTGTATACTACAATAATGAATTCTTTTCTAAACTATTTGTATCACTTGTGTATATCACTATACAATGTGTCACCACAAGGTGTTTAGTGATGTTCTTCTTAAGTTAAACATAATAGAATTTTTATATATTGTTATCTAAACTACACATTTTTGATAAACAATGTACTGTATTTTATATATATAAGCTCATATTTTAATAAATGATCTATCAAACTTTATGAAGCAATACAGGAAAAACTTTGAACTAGAGAAAATAAAAATAATGTATATTTTTACATACTTATAATGACTAAGAATAATTTAAAAATGATTTGGCAGTTTTATGGTACATGACAGGATAGCTCATTTGTTTTTCCAAGATTGTGCAGGATTATCCTAGGGTGATGAATTGTTATATTACTTGATGTAAATGTTTATTTGTACTAAACTTTTTTTCAACTTGATGATCTCCTACATTCACATTTATTTGCATTCTGTTTATCATCAAACGCCTGTAATAAATTGAGCATCTTTTTCTTTATATAACTGTTTTATGTTTTTGTTTGACACGCCTACTCAATTCAGAACCAAATATATAAAAAAAAACACCCCAAGCTTGAATTAGAATAAATGTGATATGAATGCTTTATATGAGGGACAGGAGGCGATGAGAAATCACACAATCATTTTCAAAGACAACAAAACACAACTGATTATTGTACTTTACTTTTTTTTTGTTTTTTTTAAATAGAGACTTGATATACTTGAGTTGAAGTACTAATTTCTAAATGAACAACGTTGAAGGCACATTACAATCACTGACGTGACTAACAAACAAATGGATACATACCACTTGGCAGTGTTGCATGTTAGCCATGCAACTTAACAATACAATTATATGTCAGTTTGAAATGTGTTTAACTATCCTGAACTCAGTTTTGAAATAAATGTAGTCATTTTCTCTGAACTACAAATGCCTAAAAATAAACAATGTCTAAATACAAACCCAAAACAATTATTTGATTTCTTTCCATTAAACTTTTGTCAACGTAAAATTTTGAAATGACAGTAAGACACAAACACAATTTTCCCCTAATAAGCATCCAGTCATAGAAAGCAATGTTAATGACTAAGTAAAATATAGAAGCCACACACATATTACAATAAAAAACTCCATGCTATATAACTCAATGTGATTTCTAGCACTGTACAGCCCAATCACAGAATACAAGAATAAACCCCCATGGTAGGAAACAAAAGGAGTTTTATTTTGGTAATGGCATTACACTAAACAAGAAAACAATTCTCTTAGCATAAATGGGTAGGATTAGGTAAAATGTGACCCCCCACTCATTAACTATTTTTTTCACAAAAACCAATCAAATTCAATTAATTAGTCATACCCAGTTATGCTAAAACCAAATGAGAAAATGTATTGCCAGTAAAAAGTTTCATGACAATGGACAGTAAAAAAAATAATGAAGACATGGTTTACAAAGTTAGTGACATTGAAAGCTGTACATGGTTTGCCAATGTGAAAATGCATTATACATAATTATTACACTTTAGACATTTTTTTTTATCTATATATCATAAACTCTATAAATATAACTCATTTTTATAATACTTTTAATTTAGCCATCTTAAAAATAAGCCACTGAAGGCCAGGATTAAATTCCAAGAGTGACTAAAGAAAAATACAATCACAGTGGGTTGGAAATGTTCTGTAAGAAACATTTTTTTTAAGTTGTACACTCATTGAAAACAGAAATTTTGGTTAAAAAAATTACTTCACAATGTTTTCACCATGTTTCCAATCTATAAAAAGAAAATATGCACTTTATTGCCATATTCTATAGAGATATTAAAATGAGCCAACAATATGCCATAACAATCAATAAAATAAATAGTTGTAAAATGTTCACAGCTTGAAGCTGGCAGTTAAAAATTTACATTGTTTAAATTACTCTCAAACAAAACAACTTTCCTCATATAAGCTGATTCCTCTGTTGTGTAAAACAGCATTTTTCAAACAAATTAAAAACATGAACAAGTAAAAACTAACTGCTACAGAGCTAAGTTTCTACACAAAGTGGTGATTCATGACAAGCTGATGTTTAGTGAAGATGGGGGCATAAATTGTCCCTCTAGCAGTGAGTATTAAATGTTACCTGACATTGGTCCAATACTATCTGATAATAAAATAATTATTTCCATTCAGCTACCCCTACTTGACATAGTTTACTGGTCATCTACTAGAGAGAGAACTAACCTTAGACATAGTTCACTGGTCATCTAAACATTTTTCAAGCTACACAATTAGTTGAATATCACATTTTTTGAAGCATGTCATGCGAGATAACAGAACAAAAGTACAGTTTCCACATACGTTGAATGTTACTCTATGTCTCCCCGACTGCACACCCCCCCCCCCAGCAAACCTAAAACAAACTGGTATGTAAAGACTCTCTAAGCTTGAGAACAATCCTGGTAAGCCATAAACTTCTTTAGTGAAAGTAACAGTGTTTTATTTAAACTCTAGGAAGAAGAATCTCTGAGATTGCAAACAAAGACAGTCCCGTAGGCTATGATAAGATCTAATATGAAACAGTGTGTTATTTATAAGATAAAAACACTATACATAATGGTAGATATCATTTGGCATGCAAAAAGAAAAAAAAATCTATCAAAAGTTTGATCTGATGTATTATTAATTAGAATCAAGAAGCTATGTGGAAATCTGTATTGCGTATTTTTTTATTTTATTTTTTTTATTTTTATATTTTTTTTTTACATTTTAGTAGTTTACAATTTTTTTTTTTTTTTTTTTTTTTTTTACATTTTTTTTTCCAATGTATACATGAATTTCTAGTAAAACATGAGCACTAAACTAGAAAAAATATTTGTAAGCACATACTTACAGCTGTATGAATTTGAATTACAGAAAGAAACAAACCACAGAGCTTTAAAAGAAAAAAGCTTCCAGGAGAAGCTTTAAAGATCTATATTATAAACATGATGATATACATTGATATAGTGCCACATGCAAAAACTTTTTTTTTGGTCCACCCACAAGCAGGGTAGGTCTCTGTTTTCTTGATGATCCATGAATATAATACAATAATGGTACAAAGGGGAGTTGTCAACCAAAGCTGTAGACTATAAGGAACATGCCTTCAACATTGAAAGATATAAATGCACTCATCTTGGTCTCCCAGTTGGCGCACTATAATTTTAAAAAAAATATTTCAAAATTTTTTTTTCTCTTAACATTTTTGTCAGCACAATAAAAACAATGTAATGAAAGGGAGATTTTTTTTTTGTACACTAAAAGAGTAAAAAATAATTGAATTTCACCAAGTGGGAATAAGGCCATTGAGATATTAGTTTCCAGTCTAGTTGAATAAAGAGAAGAATCCACCCATGCTATATGTACATGCCTATCTTATAGTTTTATAACTTAGGTCTCAGCACTAAGCCATGACCAAAGTTGCCTTCAAATGTTTGTCTCCTAATATGGTCCACTTTGTAACGGCAAATTAAACTTGAATCCCAGCACTTGAATTCCTGTTTGGTCAGTTGTGTCTTTAATTCCTTAAAAAGCTGCTTGCTGTAAAAAAACTGGGACCAGCATCCAGCAGAAAATGGTGGGTGAAAAAAATAGCCTCATTCTTTTGATGTCATCAAATGGACAAATATCTGTTTCATGGAACATCAACAGCACATTCCAGGGTATCACCTCACAGGTGGGGGCGGACAATCTTTGCTCCCATTTTGATCCCCTCTAGTGCATGAAGCAGTTCCCTCCCTTGAAGCAGGGGATTAGCTTGAATAGGAGCATTGACTTCACAGTCTTGTCGGGTCAAGTTTGGTAGCATTGCCTGCAATACAGTAGAGGGGAGGTAATACACTAGACACAGCACAAACATCTTGTATAATGTGACAAACATCAACTACAATATTTCATACAGAAATAAAAAAATTAGACAAGGTTTAGTTTAAAGGTAGCTAGTTATTATAACCAGATAGACAGGAGACGTCTAGACAAGGGCAAGGCCAAAACTCACTTGACTGAATGTCTTGCCAATCATGTTGTTGACCTTGTAACCATAGACACGGTCCTCCCCTCTCAGGAGGAGGTTGAGGAGTACACTGTCTTTGTTACAGCCACCACCTCCACTGTCTGCAAGACACAGGGGTGTACATTTAATAGCAAGACAGGGGTGTACATTAAATAACACAAGACACAGAGGTATAAAGACACAGAGGTGTACATTCAATAACAAGACACAGGGGTGTACATTAAATAACACAAGACACAAGGGTGTACATTCAATAACAAGACAGGGGTGTACATTCAATAACAAGACAGGGGTGTACATTTAATAACAAGACACAGGGGTGTCCATTCAACAACACAAGACACAGGGATGTACATTCAATAACACAAGACACAGGGGTGTACATTAAATAACACAAGACACAGGGGTGTACATTAAATAACAAGACACAAAGGTGTACATTCAATAACACAAGACACAGGGGTGTACATTAAATAACACAAGACACAGGGGTGTACATTCAATAACAAGACAGGGGTGTACATTTAATAACAAGACACAGGGGTGTACATTCAATAACACAAGACACAGGGGTGTACATTCAATAACACAAGACACAGGGGTGTACATTCAATAACACAAGACACAGGGGTGTACATTCAATAACACAAGACACAGGGGTGTACATTCAATAACACAAGACACAGGGGTGCACATTCAATAACACAAGACACAGGGGTGTACATTCAATAACAAGACACAGGGGTGTACATTCACCAACACAAGACAGCTATTTTCCGAAGACTATCAGGCAATAGTGAAAGCTGTAGCCTACCTGTCTGTAGAGTACTGGCACTAGTTTGTATATCAGGTGTGCCAGCATCTATCCTAATGACCTTCCTGGTTGGTGGACCGTTCTCAAGGCTATTCATGTCCAGAGGTCTCTTCATCTGGAGGTACATGGTGTCAGGGGGCTGCTCTATACTGGCCACAGCAGTGCTGCCCCCTAGCATGTCCCGGACACTGGCTTTAGGGGGTTGGGGCAGCTCCTCAAACAGGGCATGTTTGGGTCCAAATACTGATTCTGTTTGTCCAAATAATCTGACAGAAACAAGCAGAGCGTTACCAGGCAAGCTAATAACATAACCATGCTGTTATACTTAAGTGATCTGTCTACATCAATAAGGGATTTAAAGCTTAAAAAAACCCAGCTATTTATTACTCAATATAATGACAACACAGCTGCTGCCTGTTGGAAACTTTAGAAAGATGATCAAAACAAACTAACACCACCCCTTTAGAAAACTTTAGCCACCAACATCATGGGGTTAACATTGGTTCCATATAAGTCCGCAACCCCCCCCCCCCCCCCCCCCCCCCTGGGTTTAAATCCTAAGTCACCTCCCCTTACCATAGGTTTTGATTTCAAGTGACTTCCCTTTGATGTAGGTTTTGATTTCAAGTGACTTCCCATAGTCTAGGTTTTGATTTCAAGTGACTTCCCCTTACCCTAGGTTTAGATTTCAAATGACTTCCCCTTACCCTGGGTTTTATTTCAAGTGACTTCCCCTTACCCTGGGTTTTGATTTCAAGTGACTTCCCCTTACCCTGGGTTTTGATTTCAAGTGACTTCCCCTTACCCTGGGTTTTGATTTCAAATGACTTCCCTTACCCTGGGTTTAGATCTGATGAAAGATTGAAGAGGATGTTTGAAGACGGAGGCAGTAGCCCCAAGTCCTCGTCCCCATCCATGGGTATATAAGGCGCTCTCATGTCGAAATCAATGTCCTCCACATCAGGATCCTGGTCCGAGGCCTTGATGGACTGGAAGAACTGGTCCATGGACTCCACATCTCCTGGTACTGCAATGTTCAGGTAGTCACTTGGGCTGGCGATCTGGAAGGTAAACATTTCAGTGTCATCATCAACATGTCATTTGACAAACATCATGAACATGTCATTTGACAGACATCATGAACATGTCATTTGACAGACATCATCACCATGTCATTTGACAATCATCATCACCATGTCATTTGACAAACATCTTCACCATGTCATTTGACAATCATCATCACCATGTCATTTGACAAACATCTTCACCATGTCATTTGACAAACATCATCACCATGTCATTTGACAAACATCTTCACCATGTCATTTGACAAACATCTTCACCATGTCATTTGACAATCATCATCACCATGTCATTTGACAAACATCACCATGTCATTTGACAAACATCTTCACCATGTCATTTGACAAACATCATCACCATGTCATTTGACAATCATCATCACCATGTCATTTGACAAACATCATCACCATGTCATTTGACAAACATCATCACCATGTCATTTGACAAACATCTTCACCATGTCATTTGACAAACATCTTCACCATGTCATTTGACAAACATCATCACCATGTCATTTGACAATCATCATCACCATGTCATTTGACAAACATCATCACCATGTCATTTGACAAACATCATCACCATGTCATTTGACAAACATCATCACCATGTCATTTGACAAACATCTTCACCATGTCATTTGACAAACATCATCACCATGTCATTTGACAATCATCATCACCATGTCATTTGACAAACATCATCACCATGTCATTTGACAAACATCATCACCATGTCATTTGACAAACATCATCACCATGTCATTTGACAAACATCATCACCATCTGACAGGCATCACCACAATATCATCTTACATACATCTTCACCATGTCATCTTACAGACATCATCACCATGTCATCTTACAGACATCACCATGTCATCTTTACCACAATATCATCTTAAAGACACTGAGTAAGACAGAGAAGAGTGACCCACCCTGGAGGAGGCATTAGAAGAGAGGGCTGAGAGGGGGGAGTTGTCCTTGCGGTAACACATGTCCAGCAAGCTGTTCTCTGGTTCTGTCTTCAGTGGGGGGCTGGCACACAGCAGCAGTGCTGGGAAACATAATGGTACAGAAAGGTAAACAAACAGTACACAATGGTAAACATACAACAGTACATGGGGTAAACAAACAGTACTCAATGATGTTCATATCTTGATATACTCACTACTGTAGTTACATTGGAGGTGTACCTACCATCTGTTCCATAGTTATATAGAGGCACACTTTCATCCCCTGCATTTGGTGCTAGGTAGGACAAATCTTCTGGTTCATCTTTCTTTAGGACTGAAATATTAGACAACAGCATGAAAGGTCAACATACAGGACTGAAATATTCAGACAACAGGACAACATAGAGGACTGAAATATTCAGACAACAGCATGACAGGACAACATACAGGACCAAAATATTGAGACAACAGGACAATATAGAGAACTGAAATATTAGACAACAGCATGACAGGACAAAAGAGAGGACTGAAATATTTAGTTTCTGCTAGACAATGACATGTAAAAAATATTATCATGACAAAATGCTGGCTATGTCATCCACTAATTGATGTCATGGCTCAGGTTCCCAACAAAATGCTGGCTATGTCATCCACTAATTGATGTCATGGCTCAGGTTCCCAACAAAATGCTGGCTATGTCATCCACTAATTGATGTCATGGCTCAGGTTCCCAACAAAATGCTGGCTATGTCATCCACTAATTGATGTCATGGCTCAGGTTCCCAACAAAATGCTGGCTATGTCATCCACTAATTGATGTCATGGCTCAGGTTCCCAACAAAATGCTGACTATGTCATCCACTAATTGATGTCATGGCTCAGGTTCCCAACAAAATGCTGGCTATGTCATCCACTAATTGATGTCATGGCTCAGGTTCCCAACAAAATGCTGGCTATGTCATCCACTAATTGATGTCATGGCTCAGGTTCCCAACAAAATGCTGGCTATGTCATCCACTAATTGATGTCATGGCTCAGGTTCCCAACAAAATGCTGGCTATGTCATTCACTAATTGATGTCATGGCTCAGGTTCCCAACAAAATGCTGACTATGTCATCCACTAATTGATGTCATGGCTCAGGTTCCCAACAAAATGCTGACTATGTCATCCACTAATTGATGTCATGGCTCAGGTTCCCAACAAAATGCTGGCTATGTCATCCACTAATTGATGTCATGGCTCAGGTTCCCAACAAAATGCTGGCTATGTCATCCACTAATTGATGTCATGGCTCAGGTTCCCAACAAAATGCTGGCTATGTCATCCACTAATTGATGTCATGGCTCAGGTTCCCAACAAAATGCTGACTATGTCATCCACTAATTGATGTCATGGCTCAGGTTCCCAACAAAATGCTGACTATGTCATCCACTAATTGATGTCATGGCTCAGGTTCCCAACAAAATGCTGGCTATGTCATCCACTAATTGATGTCATGGCTCAGGTTCCCAACAAAATGCTGGCTATGTCATCCACTAATTGATGTCATGGCTCAGGTTCCCAACAAAATGCTGGCTATGTCATCCACTAATTGATGTCATGGCTCAGGTTCCCAACAAAATGCTGGCTATGTCATCCACTAATTGATGTCATGGCTCAGGTTCCCAACAAAATGCTGACTATGTCATCCACTAATTGATGTCATGGCTCAGGTTCCCAACAAAATGCTGACTATGTCATCCACTAATTGATGTCATGGCTCAGGTTTCCATCTGCCCTGGTCCACAAAAGGCAGTTTTTAGCTTATAGTTCAATATAAAAATTGCTTTTAAACAATGATAAACTATTTTACAAATCCTTATTTTTCCTCCCGTCTGTGTGTATGAAACAAACAAGCAGGTGCTTACAAGTTAAAGAATTCTTGAGCTCAGGTGGTACAAAATAACCAGTGTCCATGTCCTTGGTCTTGGGGGCGAAGATGTTCTCAGTACTCAGCTCCAGCTTGGGTGGCATCAGGTCAGACAGGGGGGCCTCGTCTGTCTGTACATGGGACAGGATGCTCCCTCTCTCCTCCACTTGGCTGAGGGGACAAGGACATTGTATCAAAGTAGGAGGACATTGTATCAAAGTCTAGGAGGTAATTTTATCAAAGTCTAGAAGGACATTGTACAAGTCTAGAAGGACATTGTATCACACTCAGTACAGCACACTGTTGTCATGATGTAACTGTCATGTGCAGCTTCTTAAAAACAACTTCAAACAAAACAATAAGCTGCAGGTGAATTACAGAAAATGTTGAGCATTGGCTGATACTTTTCTTTAAACAGAAAATCATATATCTTCCAAAAAAATGGACCTCTAAACATAGTGTACACACATACAAACTCACATAAGAACATAGAGTAAACATACAAACTCACCCAAAAAAGATAGTGTATGCTAATACAAACTCACTTCAGACAGTGTACACACATACAATTTCACTTCAGACTTTACACACACCCACCTAAAAACAAAGTGTACAATACAAACTCACCTCAGACAAAGTGTACAATACAAACTCACCTCAGAACATAGTGTACACACACAACCCACTGTGGCTTTTGTGTACGGCTGTTGTTGATGATAGTTGCTTGTGTGATGACCCACATGTACCCACCATGCCTGGCCAGGAAACGGTAGGCTCCAGTCATTGTCTGGCCTTTAGAGAAAACTACAACACAACATAGCCATTAGGACCATAAACAACAGGACAACAGAACATAGCCATTAGGACCATGTGGAACCATAGAACTGGCTTGAATGAAGGGCAATGAACACGTTAAAACTTACGGTCTTTAAAGGCTTTGTCAATGACATCTGAGTCCAGAGCATGGTGGAAGTCATACAGGGACTGGCCAATCATAGCTTCACAATTGTAGCCGGCTAGCTCTTCAATTCTGGGAGATACAAAATCATATTCCATACATATTCAAGCAGTCCAGATTTCTTACAAAAACATATTCCATACATATTCAAGCAGTCCAGATTTCTTATAAAAACATATTCCATACATATTCAAGCAGTCAATATTTCTTACAAAAACACACCAAAAAAAAGCATTGTGTGAATGGCTAGAGCACAGACCTTTCATCACAGAAGATAAAGTGAAAAGTATTGTGTGAATGGCTAGAGCACAGACCTTTCATCACAGAAGATAAAGTGAAAAGTATTGTGTGAATGACTGACTAGAGCACAGACCTTTCATCACAGAAGATAAAGTGAAAAGTATTGTGTGAATGGCTAGAGCACAGACCTTTCATCACAGAAGATAAAGTGAAAAGTATTGTGTGAATGGCTAGAGCACAGACCTTTCATCACAGAAGATAAAGTGCATGTCCATGCTGTGTTTGGACAGGAAGGTCTTGCTGTCCAGGGGGATCTCAATGTTGGCAGGGTGAGGGATGGGCTCTGCTACTGCCACCAGGTAGGGGAAGGTGCTGGCACTGACGTCAGTTTCACTGGAAAGTTCTTTGGTCACCAGGCGGCCGGAACATTTCATCACCTGCATCAATATGGCACCAGCAAGTCATATAACTAGTGTGTCACCAGGCATTTTACTAGTGTCTCACAAGTACTTTTACTAGTGTCTAACCAATAATTTACAAGTGTGTCACCAGAAATTTAACTAGTGTGTAACCAATATTTTAACTAGTGTGTCACCAGTCATTAATCAAGTATGTCATCAATAATTTAACAAGTATGTCACCAATAATTTAACAAGTATGTCACTAATAATTTAACAAGTGTGTCACCAATAATTTAACAAGTGTGTCACCAATAATTTAACAAGTGTGTCACCAATAACTTAACAAGTGTGTCACCAATAATTTAATTACAGTGTGCCAGGTAATTGAACTCAAGTGTGTCTAGTGAGTCCCTTCATCAAGGACACTTTCTATAAACAAAAATAAAAATCATCACAACAGCTTGACTTAAAAATGTTTATGTACAAAAATCAATTCTCTTTAAAGCCAGAGCAAATATGTTTCCATCACATTTAGCTGATCAAAAAAAGTGTTGTGAGAGGATGCACACTGACCTTAAAAGTAGCACTTTTAAGGTTGACATTTCTGCCTTTAGCTGTGAGGGTGCACTTCATGCGGAGGAAGAAGATTCTGTTCTCTGTGTTGCTGGGGGTCTTTTGTTGTGCGCTTGGTTTCACTGTTAACATTTCTTTGATTTCATCATGGTCACATGGGTGGGTGAACTCGTAGATACTCTGACCCATCAGCTCAATCTAATCAGGGAAAATAAAACTGGCGATAGGACTATTATACATGGAAAGTACAATTTTGGCACCAATTGGGAAGTTGGACTATTCACTTAGCAAAATTAGTCAAATTGGTGTATTTCTTGGTGTGTTGTATGTGGGTGGAGTGGTGTATGTGGGTGGAGTGGTGTATGTGAAATTAGTGTTCTATTTGGGTGGTGTATTACATGATGTATTGTATGTGAGTGATGTATTTCATTATGTGAGTGACGTATTTCATGATGTGAGTAATGTATTTCATGATGTGAGTGATGCATTACATGATGTGCGTGATGCATTACATGATGTGAGTGATGCATTACATGATGTGAGTGATGCATTACATGATGTGAGTGATGTATTACATGATGTGAGTGATGCATTACATGCTGTGAGTGTTACATTACATGATGTGAGTGATGTATTACATGATGTGAGTGATGTATTACATTATGTGAGTGATGTATTACATTATGTGAGTGATGCGTTACATGATGTGAGTGATTTATTTCATGCTGTGAGTGATGTATTTCATGATGTGAGTGATGCATTACATGATGTGAGTGATGTATTACATGATGTGAGTGATGCATTACATGCTGTAAGTGATGTATTACATGATGTGAGTGATGTATTACATGATGTGAGCGGTGTAGGCACACATAAGAGACTGACCTGCTGAAGACCCAGGTACTTTGTGACACTCTCAGACAGGTAGACAATATCTCCCTCCTGGGACAGGATAAAGGCAAAGCCTTCCAGGGCTTTCTGATACAGCTGGTCCAGCTTATCTCCCTTGGACTTCTTGGACAAACTCTTGCCATCTTCTGCACAAGACAAGGGGGGGGGGGGGAGGGGGGGGGATACAGTTTTAGATAATCCAGTGATATGATTGTTTGAGGTCTGTGACAGTAAAGTGTGAGTGTGTATGTGGAGGGGGGGGGAGGAAATAAAGTTTCAGATAATTGAAGGCCAGTGGTATGACTGAGGTCTGTGATAGCCAAGTACTGGATGCCCCCAGTTTGTGTAACTACGATGTAATCAGTTTCCCATAACTCCGTATCCTGGCATCACGACCAGGATGACTAACTTCGAGGTTTCTCTCCTTCTCGAGTGGGCTGTACCAGCGTCAATACACCACAGTACTCTCCCCTTGTCCGGGAGTGTTAGGTCAGACTGACCTGCTACACAAACACCCTGCCCTCCCCTGCAGCCATCTAATGTGATGTGTGAATTACTTTCTCCATCCATCAACATACTGAATGACTCCTGGACCATCAAGTGACTGCTAGATTTTTTTCAGGTAGGACATTCCAAGGTAGGACAACGACCCCAGGACCATCATGAGACCTGGTTTTCTTACACAAGTTTAAATGGCTACTAATAAATATAGGTAGGGTAGGACATGCCGGGGTAGGACATGCCGGGGTAGGACATGCCGGGGTAGGACAAAACACGGATTAAAACAACAACTGAGCCTCTATTCCCTTTAGCCCCTCCTTCATGCTGACGTACTCGTCAGGAGCAGCACCCGTGGAGGGATGGAGGGGGGGGGGGGTCAGTTGTTGGGTTCAGGCAATGTTTTGGGGAAAACAAGTCTCCTATCAGTGTATCAGTGGCCAGCTCCATGGACCAGGTCAACTCGCGACTAATGTGGGTCAGAACTGATAAAACGGCCTTCACAACTGCTCGGGTTTTTTAAGTACGTGTGTTGAGTAGTATCTGCCTCCCGCTGACATGTGTCAGTGTGTAGTCCCGCTGACATGTGTCAGTGTGTAGCCCCGCTGACATGTGTCAGTGTGTAGTCCCGCTGACATGTGTCAGTGTGTAGACCCGCTGACATGTGTCAGTGAGTAGCCCCGCTGACATGTGTCAGTGTGTAGCCCCGTTGACATGTGTCAGTGTGTAGACCCACTGACATGTGTCTGTGTGTAGCCCCGCTGACATGTGTCAGTGTGTAGACCCGCTGACATGTGTCAGTGTGTAGACCCGCTGACATGTGTCAGTGTGTAGACCCGCTGACATGTGTCAGTGTGTAGACCCGCTGACATGTGTCAGTGTGTAGACTTGCTGACATGTGTCAGTGTGTAGACCCGCTGACATGTGTCAGTGTGTACCCTGATCTATAGTCTGACCACACACCACCAGCAACAACACCTATTGCCTATAGTCTGACCACACACCACCAGCAACAACACCTATTGCCTATCACACACCATCAGCAACAACACCTATTGCCTATCACACACCATCAACATCAACACCTATTGCCTATAGTCTGACCACACACCATCAGCAACAACACCTATTGCCTATAGTCTGACCACACACCATCAGCAACAACACCTATTGCCTATAGTCTGACCACACACCACCAGCAACAACACCTATTGCCTATCACACGTCATCAGCAACAACACCTATTGCCTATCACACACCATTAGCAACACCTATTGCCTATAGGAAATGACAAAGTTGTTAGAAGCTGTTAGCAAATTATTTTGACCTTTCAACTCAGGCCGTCTGAGTTGCACTGTTCAATGTGGGACCAAATAACACACGGACAAGCAGGGCTGAGTATAGGAGGTGCCTCTGATCCGCCTCTGACGGAACTACACACACACAGTCGATAGAAGCAAGTTTTGATCCGCCTCTGATAGAGCTACACACACAAACAGTCGATAGAGGCAAGTTTTGATCCGCCTCTGATAGAGCTACACACACAAACAGTCGATAGAGGCAAGTTTTGATACGCCTCTGGTAGAGCTACACACACGCACACAAACAGTCGATAGAGGCAAGTTTTGATACGCCTCTGGTAGAGCTACACACACGCACACAAACAGTCGATAGAGGCAAGTTTTGATACGCCTCTGGTAGAGCTACACACACAAACAGTCGATAGAGGCAAGTTTTGATCCGCCTCTGGTAGAGCTACACACACGCACACAAACAGTCGATAGAGGCAAGTTTTGATACGCCTCTGGTAGAGCTACACACACGCACACAAACAGTCGATAGAGGCAAGTTTTGATACGCCTCTGGCAGAGCTACACACACAAACAGTCGATAGAGGCAAGTTTTGATCCGCCTCTGGTAGAGCTACACACACGCACACAAACAGTCGATAGAGGCAAGTTTTGATCCGCCTCTGGTAGAGCTACACACACGCACACAAACAGTCGATAGAGGCAAGTTTTGATACGCCTCTGGTAGAGCTACACACACAAACAGTCGATAGAGGCAAGTTTTGATACGCCTCTGGTAGAGCTACACACACACACACAAACAGTCGATTGAGGCAAGTTTTGATCCGCCCCTGATAGAGCTACACAGACAGTCAATAGAGGCAAGGTTTGATCCGCCCCTGATAGAGCTACACAGACACAGTCAATAGAGGCAAGGTTTGATCCGCCCCTGATAGAGCTACACAGACACAGTCAATAGAGGCAAGGATTGATCCGCCCCTGATAGAACTACACACACACACACACAGTTGATAGAGGCAAGGTTTGATCCGCCCCTGATAGAGCTACACAGACACAGTCAATAGAGGCAAGGTTTGATCCGCCCCTGATAGAGCTACACAGACAGTCAATAGAGGCAAGGTTTGATCCGCCCCTGATAGAGCTACACAGACACAGTCAATAGAGGCAAGGTTTGATCCGCCCCTGATAGAGCTACACAGACACAGTCAACAGAGGCAAGGTTTGATCCGCCCCTGATAGAGCTACACAGACACAGTCAATAGAGGCAAGGTTTGATCCGCCCCTGATAGAGCTACACAGACACAGTCAATAGAGGCAAGGTTTGATCCGCCCCTGATAGAGCTACACAGACACAGTCAATAGAGGCAAGGTTTGATCCGCCCCTGATAGAATTACACACACACACACAGTTGATAGAGGCAAGGTTTGATCCGCCCCTGATAGAGCTATACACACACACAGTCGATAGAGGCAAGTTTTGATCCGCCTCTGATAGAACTACACACAGAGTTGATAAAGTTTTGATGCTTGCACACACAGGACAAGAGTAAAGCTGGCAATAGCTGGATTAGAAACAGGTATAAATCTTGTGTATGTCGGATGATAAGGAAAATGTAGAGACGGCGGGCGGGTCTGTGCCTTAGAGTCCCGGGGATCTTCACTCTGTGTGAGAGGAGATTCACCTAAGATCTACCCCCGTGTGTGTGAAAATAGGAAGGTCGCGGTATGAATTGCTAGCGACAACAGAGCCAGTCAACAAAACCACTGTCCTGACGAATGTCGACATTAGTCCTACGTTCAACCTACACGCTAAAGACTCATTAACTAAACGAGTAGATTAAAAACTCATCACAAGCCGCCATTAGCGACACACAAAGTAAATGGAGATGTTACATTAGATGACAAGTTGGTAAAACACCTACACTGGTGGAGTCAGTGACCCCACTGGATGGCACGACCAATTTATCTGGCCAACACTGCTGGAGTCAGTGACCCCACTGGATGGCACGACCACTTTATCTGGCCAACACTGCTAGAGTCAGTGACCCCACTGGATGGCACGACCACTTTATCTGGCCAACACTGCTAGAAAGAGTGACCCCACTGAATGGCACGACCACTTTATCTGGCCAACACGGCTAGATAAAGTGACCCCACTGGATGGCACGACCACTTTATCTGGCCAACACTGCTGGAGTCAGTGACCCCACTGAATGGCACGACCACTTTATCTGGCCAACACGGCTGGAGTCAGTGACCCCACTGGATGGCACGACCACTTTATCTGGCCAACACTGCTAGAGTCAGTGACCCCACTGAATGGCACGACCACTTTATCTGGCCAACACGGCTGGAGTCAGTGACCCCACTGGATGGCACGACCACTTTATCTGGCCAACACTGCTGGAGTCAGTGACCCCACTGAATGGCACGACCACTTTATCTGGCCAACACGGCTGGAGTCAGTGACCCCACTGGATGGCACGACCACTTTATCTGGCCAACACTGCTGGAGTCAGTGACCCCACTGGATGGATGGCACGACCACTTTATCTGGCCACCACGGCTGGAGTCAGTGACCCCACTGGATGGCACGACCACTTTATCTGGCCAACACGGCTGGAGTCAGTGACCCCACTGGATGGATGGCACGATCACTTTATCTGGCCAACACTGCTAGAGTCAGTGACCCCACTGGATGGCACGACCACTTTATCTGGCCAACACTGCTAGAGTCAGTGACCCCACTGGATGGCACGACCACTTTATGTATTAGACAAGTTATGGTGCGCCAAGCTTCTGAAATTTCTACCAACGATGAAGAAAATTATTTTTATAAAGTCAGGTTTAAACCACCCCGCCTTTAACAACCTTCACCATTCTAGAGCTAAGACCAGTGAGGGATCTCTGAAGCTTAGAGCCTCCCCATTCAACAGGTGAGGGCAGATCAAGACGACCAACGTGAGAAACCTTGTGTAGCCAGCGGTTATCTCCACCTGCCTGTATTTTGCCATCCGATAGTTTCACTGGGCTGGTCGCGAGATACGCACCCCTCCCATTTAGATACCAGACTCGGTTAATGGGCGCTCATCGTGACCCTGAGGCGGGTCTACACGACCACTTCTTGGACAACTGCCAACATACATCGTGACACTGAGGCGGGTCTACACGACCCACTTCTTGGACAACTGCCAACATACATCGTGACCCTGACCCAAATATTGGTCTACATGACCCACTTCTTGGACAACTGCCAACATACATCGTGACACTGAGGCGGGTCTACACGACCCACTTCTTGGACAACTGCCAACATACATCGTGACCCTGGGGCGGGTCTACACGACCCACTTCTTGGACAACTGCCAACATACATCGTGACCCTGAGGCGGGTCTACACGACCCACTTCTTGGACAACTGCCAACATACATCGTGACCCTGACCCAAATATTGGTCTACATGACCCACTTCTTGGACAACTGCCAACATACATCGTGACCCTGAGGCGGGTCTACACGACCAACTTCTTGGACAACTGCCAACATACATCGTGACCCTGACCCAAATATTGGTCTACATGACCCACTTCTGGGACAACTGCCAACATACATCGTGACCCTGACCCAAATATTGGTCTACATGACCCACTTCTTGGACAACTGCCAACATACATCGTGACCCTGAGGCGGGTCTACACGACCCACTTCTGGGACAACTGCCAACATACATCGTGACCCTGAGGCGGGTCTACACGACCCACTTCTGGGACAACTGCCAACATACATCGTGACCCTGAGGCGGGTCTACACGACCCACTTCTGGGACAACTGCCAACATACATCGTGACCCTGAGGCGGGTCTACACGACCCACTTCTGGGACAACTGCCAACATACATCGTGACCCTGACCCAAATATTGGTCTACATGACCCACTTCTTGGACAACTGCCAACATACATCGTGACCCTGAGGCGGGTCTACACGACCCACTTCTGGGACAACTGCCAACATACATCGTGACCCTGAGGCGGGTCTACACGACCCACTTCTGGGACAACTGCCAACATACATCGTGACCCTGACCCAAATATTGGTCTACATGACCCACTTCTTGGACAACTGCCAACATACATCGTGACCCTGACCCAAATATTGGTCTACACGACCCACTTCTGGGACAACTGCCAACATACATCGTGACCCTGACCCAAATATTGGTCTACATGACCCACTTCTTGGACAACTGCCAACATACATCGTGACCCTGAGGCGGGTCTACACGACCCACTTCTTGGACAACTGCCAACATACATCGTGACCCTGAGGCGGGTCTACATGACCCACTTCTTGGACAACTGCCAACATACATCGTGACCCTGAGGCGGGTCTACACGACCAACTTCTGGGACAACTGCCAACATACATCGTGACCCTGACCCAAATATTGGTCTACACGACCCACTTCTTGGACAACTTCTTCATTCTTAATTTTTAGTGTTGGAAAGGATCGAGCCTAATCTGCCAGAGAGTTTGAACTCGAGCCTTTTTCGAATTTATCAGCCGCGACTGTACTTGATCCAGCCATCTCTAGTATTTTTAAAAATCTTGTTATTTCTCCTTTTATTATTGAAATTAGTTATTTTAAAATTAAATTTTTAATGACTAATTGTCTAAATAATTAGATAAAAATTCGATATTCACATATTGTCGCCACTATCTACCACTGAGCCAAATGACAGCTCAATCGGACGAGTGGTTTAAATTTAGATTCCAACATCTGCAGAGCTACACCAGACAGACAAACATACTCAGCAAGCTAAATAAAAGACTTTAAAAATATGCTCAACATTGCAAGCAACAGTGGCACATTCAATCAACCTTCATAAGTTAACTTGAAGAATCTATTATGGTAGTAAAGACTAGATCACTTACCAGATTTGTAGAAAGTGTTGTTGAGAATATTGTAAATCTTTAGCATGCTGATGGACAGTCTCATGACGGATGCCTTGTCCAGCTGACTGGATATGCTCTCGGCCATGGGCAGACAGTTGGAGAGTTCCATGAAGACCTCCGTCTCCTTCCCTCGTCTACAGCGTGCGGCATCTCGAGACTTTTCTTTGCGCTTCTCTGTGTTCCTGTAATACACGGGTCATTTTTACATGGGTCAGTGGGTCAATATTACATGGGTCATTTTTACACGGGTCAGTGGTGTCAATCTTACATGGGTCAGTGGGTCAACCTTACATGGGTCAGTGGTGTCAATCTTACATGGGTCAGTGGGTCAACCTTACACGGGTCAGTGGTGTCAATCTTACATGGGTCAGTGGTGTCAGTCTTACATGGGTCAGTGGTGTCAATCTTACATGGATCAGTGGGTCAATCTTACATGGGTTATTTTATATGGGTCAGTGGATCAATCTTACATGGGTTAGTGGGTCAATATTACATGGGTCAGTGGTGTCAATCTTACATGGGTCAGTGGTGTCAGTCTTACATGGGTCATTGGGTCAATCTTACATGGGTCAGTGGGTCAATCTTACATGGGTCAGTGGTGTCAATCTTACATGGATCAGTGGGTCAATCTTACATGGGTTAGTGGTGTCATTCTTACATGGATCAGTGGGTCAATCTTACATGGGTCAGTGGTGTCATTCTTACATGGGTCAGTGGTGTCATTCTTACATGGGTCAGTGGTGTCAGTCTTACATGGGTCATTAGTACACTGGCCAGTGATAGACCTGGTATCACTAGCAAGTGATAGACCAGGACAAAAATGCTAAATGATTACAGCATCTACACGTAACAGGGCCCTACACAAAGAAATCTTCCCTACGAACCTTGAATATCTCAAGGTGAAAGGTCACGACTTTTGATAGGATTAAACATTCTACTAAGTTGGGTTATAAATAGCTGTGTTAAGCCAACCACTGAAGCATGGCCAATGCACTGAACTTGTGCTGAGCTTTGTATTTTGCCAGTTGATCACACGTACTGTTGGCTGGGTGGAGAGAAAGGTTAACTCCAAGTTTAGCTCTTTCACTTTAGTACAGGCAGTCATGTGTGGATGGCTGGAGTCACGTGACAGCCAGAGCTTAAACCTAACCGACTTTAATGCTCTAATGGAAACTTTGCTGGAGAAAGCGGAAGTGCGTCATTGGAAAAGCAGATATCCAGCCACACGGGCAGGCCAGACGATTTACCTGATAAGTTACGACCAGCTAATGACAGTTCATGCAGCGTTCACATTTATGGCGGCTTTAGTACAACATGGCTAAAAGGTTGCTCACAAAATCTCGGTCATCGGTGGCAAAAGTCAGGGGAACCATAAGAATAGAGTCAGGGGCTACACAAAACTAGAATCCATTGGAAATATTTATTTATATCGAGTTATACAGGATGGCGAAAGACAGGAAGATATGTAGAATTCTCCCCTATGGGGGGTCATCTATTTATGACGTCCACAAAAAGTCTAATTGTATGTGTATGTTTGTGTGATGTTTGTGGGTTTGGTGTCCATTTACAAGAAAACATTTTTAAAAATCATGATTTTTGTGACGTCCACATCAGGGGTGGGGTCACTAAGTAGTCCTTTAGTAGGCTTCACATGCCTAGTTAGCCATGATCCCTGACCACTAATCGATAGGCCATCCGCCGGAAGTAATCAAACGCTACTGTCTTCCTGCCATCAGCGCCAACTATGTGCGAGGTCAGCAACTAAACCATATGGACGTTTGGCGGACAACAACAAACACCCTAATGTTAGCTTTTAGAGAACGCAACTCAGATAAGTTACAAAAACATATCAAGCAAGGCAACCACTGAATATATTAAAAAGAAACATGTTGAAATATTTGAAAAAATGATTGGAACATATCTATTGTATGGTGACGTTATGAGAGGAGCGAGTTTAACGCGAGCTGTATACGATCAATCATCTTCATTAAGTGTAAGCTAGACACGACAGACAGGCGATAGTGTCTCATGGGAACTTTTTTTTCACAGCTATTTTAATGGGACATTTTGTTTTAACAGGAGATTTTTTATGTTTTTTTTTTGTCAATGTTTTTTCCTCTTTGTATCTAAAGCGTTTGATTTAGTTTTTTACTCTTAAAAGTTATTTTTATGTTAAAAACATTCCGTATATCAATACTTCAGTTAAAACCATTCCTTATACCATTGGTTCAGTTAAAACCATTCTTTATACCAATAGTTCAGTCATATCGCTAGGCCATCATGCAACACGGATTTACGTCGTAACACCCTTACACACATGACCGTAAAGTAACACAAGGCCAGCTAGTTACATTTTACTTGTGGGGTCAACCAAATGGCAGCCAGTACCCCCATTTTGATCTAATCTCCACTCAAAAGGTCAACGATTGGTCAACAGGCCGGTCACCGATTGGCCAACAGGTTGGTCGCCTAGATCAAGAGCTACCTCTACCTTTTAATATACACCTGAAGCTAAGGTCACCGTCCAAAATGTCTACCGCCATCGCCGCTAATTTACACAGCCGGAGGGCGCAAATATCGTGGATTCATGGGAACATCTAGGCGATGTCATGATTGAAGATAAAAAAAAACGTTTGTCAATGTTAAAAATTAAAACACTGATCTTGATGAGAGAACTGTTGACACGACCAACAGCCTACTATTTCAATGTTAGGAATAACGTTCAATGTGGCCAGTAAACGAAGTAGTTCAATGGACGAAGACACTAGCCCTCTGTTAATTACTAGAGCAATTACTGGAGATGGACATTACTTCTATCAATTACTGAAGTAGGATATTATTCCCCTGTTAATTACACAATAATAATAAACGTAATCCTAACACTATATCTTACCTCTGATAATGTTTGGGTTATGGTTAGTCATAGGTTAAGAAAATGGTCTAAATATAAAATAGGCTCAATCTACATTTTCCAGGTTCCTGGTGTGGCATTCCATAGAATGACGGGTCACTCACTTAACCAGTAACATGTGATAGGCATTCTCAAGGGTGGGGGCGGGGATTATCAGGAGGGGGTAGGGGATGGACAGACGAGTGGTCATTGATATGATAATTAATGGTGGGAGTAATGGGGAGGGGGGGGTAATGTCAAACCCAGTTGCATGTTTTTAACATGATTAGTCTGCGAGCCTTTCAATAACCTTACCTTAGTAAAGCAGCAGTGGTCAGCAAACTCTAGATTAATGAGGGTAAAAGAGAAACTATCGAGTATAGAACACAGCCAAGCCGCCTAACTTACTTGTATGGCATGTCTGTCCTGAGTGAGCCGTCCTAAGTGCTGCTGGTCAAACAGCTGCCGACCGTCCACAGTTTAACCAGCTAGCCCAGGTGTATCCATAGACCATCTGAATACAGCTCTACCGTTCAAACACACGGCTATTTATGTCTGGATCTGCAGCTTTATCTACCGACACATACGGGGCTGTTTAAAAACACGTTCAAGCTAACAACGGTGCCGAATGTCTAGAGACATCCATCATAATTTAAACAACTTTAATAAACGGAACGGTGAATAATAAAAAAAAAAGAATGCGGAAAAGAAAAACGGAAAGTACTATACAACGAATTTGATTTAAACAATAAGCAACGCCAAATCAAAGTACAAAAATCCAAATGTTTCGAAGGCTTTTTCTCGGATAAAAAAAGATGTATTTCTAAAACAGTCTTTCGAGATAAGCTTAAGACACCCGCCGGTTGAAAGAGCATTAGATTTTAAGTTCAGCCACATGAGTGAATGTGGTGTTGCCACATACACGTCATACCTTACACACTTGATATCAACAGGAGAAGTTTCAGATACCAGAAACTGATGATCGTTTCACCTATTCAAAGTGTATGAAAACAACATAGGCCTTGAATAAAAAGTTTCCTAAATTAAAAACAACAACAAGAACTCGGGTGATTGAATCGTTAAGATGCCGAAACTTGAATAAACAACGATCGTCCACTAAAAGCACAAGAAATACCGTGCAGTAACAGACACTAGAAGCACAGGAAAGACATCCCTTGTCATACACTAGCAGCACGCAAAGAGACGGTAACAGTAAGTGAACTAACGCACGCTGCAGCAGTCACTAGACTAGGACACAAGATGATATCTCCGTGTACCATAGACGGAGTGGAGCGAGGTTTTCCTCCAGAGTAACTCGATCTGAGAATGTGACACCGTTGTCTACCCCAGTACAACACGGCGGTACAGGTGACCAAGCTCCTGCGTCACGGTTGACCCAGCTCCAGGGCCTGGCTATTGTCCCGGCTTATTTGCATTAGTGTCCAGCTTCAGGTGCAGCCAAGCGTGACAGCCACCTACCGTACAGATCCACTCGAGGCGAGCAGCCAACCGAGACGGACAACCGCTGATCTATACAGGTGGGAGACTGTTTCATCCAGTATGCTAACCACAAACTTAGATTTGGGACACGTCATCACTACACCAAGTCCAAAAGTGAGCACCTAGTGAGGTGTTTGACCTGTGATGACAATGACCTGAAGGTGGCCAGGACACAAGCTGACCAAAGCTGACCATGAAATGGTTAACACACCTGTGTTATAAAGTTAACCTCATGCAGTCTTTCATCTCAAGACATTCCTAAACCAGGAGTATAATCAAGTAAGTGAGCAGATAGATATGACGAATGTCAACAGACTGTAAATAGTGTAAACCAAACCACTATACCACCAAACTAGTCGGTAAACTAACCAAACCACTCTACCACCAAACTAGTCGGAAAACTAACCAAACCACACTACCACTTAAGTAGTGACAGTGAAACCATTACCACATTATCGAAACCACCGTACCGTAACTAACATCACTTAAAACTCGCCATCACCAAACTAGTGATTAGAAAAACCACAGTACCAACAAACACCTGACACGCCAGCGAACAGGAGAGGATCTCTGTCTGACTAATGACAAGTCAGTCAAATGAGATTTGAATGAAGCGGCGTGGAGCAGGCTGTTGTCTGGTGGTACCAGAGCCCTGATGGACCGGGTATCCGGCCGATGCTGGCTCGACGGTCACGCCATCGCCTGACGGACGGCTGGTCACCGCGCTAATAATCTCTCGTCATCCGACACGTCACGGTAACCATGGACGCTCCATGGATACCTGACCGCCGGACATAGAGCAGATTTGTCAGGCGAAAGTTTCCAGACATTGTCATTAAAGCCATTGTCTAACCGCGCTGGTCGTAAAACCTGCCGGCACTGCTGCGGTCACTTGCAGGATGTCACACGTCAAACAATCACTAGTAGAGCTGTGTCCAACACAATCACTAGTAGAGCTAGCTGTGTCCAACACAATCACTAGTAGAGCTAGCTGTGTCCCACACAATCACTAGTAGAGCTAGCTGTGTCCAACACAATCACTAGTAGAGCTAGCTGTGTCCCACACAATCACTAGTAGAGCTAGCTAGTGTCCAACACAATCACTAGTAGAGCTAGCTGTGTCCAACACAATCACTAGTAGAGCTGTGTCCCACACAATCACTAGTAGAGCTAGCTAGTGTCCAACACAATCACTAGTAGAGCTAACACAATCACTAGTAGAGCTAGCTGTGTCCAACACAATCACTAGTAGAGCTAGCTGTGTCCAACACAATCACTTGTAGAGCTAGCTGTGTCCAACACAATCACTAGTAGAACTAGCCTAATCCGACACAATCATCACTAGAAGAACTAGCCTAATCCGACACTATCATCACTAGAAGATCTAGCCTAATCCGACACTATCATCACTAGAAGAACTAACCGCAACCAAGAGAATCACGCGGAATAACCGCATCCTTATTAAAAATGTTGAAATTAACATCAGCTAGATCTAGTGATCAAAGAAGGAAAACAACTAATCAATAAATGCAATTTAAAACGAGTCGATAATTTACAGGCAGCACACCTACTTGTCAATTAAAGCATAAAATCGCACAAGGATGTACTGGCAACCTTAAAACCGTTTGACACCCAATTAAACACAGGTATAAAATCAATGTAAGACCTGTAAAAGGCATCAGCAGACCTACGGTAGAGCCTCCCATTAGAGCGAGCACCGCCCAAATAAAGAGATTCTTTGAGCGCGAGGAAGCCATTAAATCAATGCTGTAATCTCGCTGCTACGCAATGGGGCTTGGGTTACCAGGCACCCAGCCAAATGTACAACACTTATTACATATCTACTGGCACGCAGATTTATGCTTTTCTTTATTCTTTTAATGACCACACTAAGCAGACGAGGGTTTTCATAGACACACTTTACGGACAATAATTTTACTATTAGCCACTAGTTTTAATAATTCAGCAAATAACTGCTGGTTATAAAAGTTGTGCAAATGTAACTGACCATGAATCGAGCACAATATATGTCCAGCCTTTGAGTGAATGTGTTGTGTAATTGTTTGTACATGTATGTTATTTATGACGGTCCTTAAGTCAGCCCCTGGCATAGCAGGTGAATGATAGCATGTCTATGGTATAGTTGTCTTAACATTAGGATGTGAACCATTAGGGAGTGATGAGAAAGATATAGGAAAGTGGAAACTGTTCCATGTATGTCGTTATTGTAACAATTACAGAGAGAAAACACGATTGAAAGAAACAACTTTATAGTGAGACAAAATCGAATGATAACAATAAACATTTACTGACGTGTCCGAATTTGTGAACGTTTTTGAACACGTATTATGACAACACGCCACACAAAGACTGCAACAGCCGCCTCATTACACGCGTGCTCTGACCCCAGTCGTGTCATTGTAAGCTGACCACAGAAACAACACATGTGCTCTGAGCTAATGGTGACGCTCAAGCTACAAAGTCCACTGCTGGCACACTCAAGAGATATGAAGTTACATCATCAGTGGCTTGCTACACACTGCATGTGACAATAGAGGGACTGCTGGCACACTTAAGAGATATGACGTTACATCGTCAGGGGCTGGCTACACACTGTATGTGACATTAGAGGGACTGCTGACACACTTAAGAGATATGACGTTACATCGTCAGGGGCTAGCTACACACTGTATGTGACATTAGAGGGACTGCTGGCACACTTAAGAGATATGACGTTACATCGTCAGGGGCTGGCTACACACTGTATGTGACATTAGAGGGACTGCTGGCACACTTAAGAGATATGAAGTTACATCATCGGTGGCTAGCTACACACTGCATGTGACAATAGAGGGAACATCCCCCCCCCCGTGTGTATGTTCCTGGTAACACACCTCAGCCAGCCTGTCACAGATTTGTCTTCCTGGTAACAACACCGTCACAGGTATTCAAGGGTTACAACAATTGGTTCCCTAACCAAGCTCGAATTAGTTCCCTTGACCAAGCTCGAATTAGTTCCCTAACCAAGCTCGAATTAGTTTCCGTGACCATTGCTAGAATTAGTTTCCGTGACCATTGCTAGAATTAGTTCCCGTGACCATTGCTAAAATTAGTTCCCGTGACCATTGCTAGAATTAGTTCCCGTGACCATTGCTAAAATTAGTTCCCGTGACCATTGCTAGAATTAGTTCCCGTGACCATTGCTAAAATTAGTTCCCGTGACCATTGCTAGAATTAGTTCCCCCGACCAAGCTCGAATCATCTCCTTTACAAAAAGGTGACCAAGAGATCACCACATACACTACTTTAGTCACCTTCTCCCACCGAGCAAATAATTACGGGTGAAAATTGATAGTCGATAGCCTATATTTTAAACAGCTTTAATTGCTTTTGGCGGACACCGGAAAGAAAACTGTGCACAAAAAAAGTTCGCAAATGCATTTTTATTTTCTTAAATCGAGCGTTTATAGACATAAACAAAGAGTTCCTACATCTATATTGTAGCATTATACAACATATTTCCACGAAATATGGCAAAATTAAAAGTACTGATATAATTAGTTTGCGCAGTTTTCCGTTGCGCAGTTTTTCGATGATGCTTTTTTCTGGGAACCGCTATTGGCATAGCGCGACAACAATAACATCGGCTTAAATGCGTGTTTACTTACTGCCCTCCATGGTCGCAGATTCTCAAACTATGCTAGTACCCATCCTCTACAACAGGCGATGTGTGATCTATCATTAAGTAACACATCTGCACCACTCACGAGCCAACACGGCTAAGTGAGGACGTCTGTCTTTATGATTGAAACAAATTCCGGGAAGGTTCATCAAGTTAACTTGATGCAAAGTTCATCAAGTACACAACTGCAGTAAAAACAGCACTAGTCAGGCTGGTCAACTTCAAACAATTGGTGGTGGTGGCTGTCTAGACATTCCCTGATTCCAACAACCCATGTCAGACCCCGCCCCAGCTGCCGAACGTCATTATTGTGGGAAGGCAGCAAGTGCTGATGCACTGAACCAACTCAAGTACTGCGTTCATGTAGCTAGAAGATTGTATTCTCTGGCTCCTAAAAACGGGGTCGTGTCGGCCCGATGGTGC